AAAAAACGTTTTAATAACTAACCAATGGTTTTACTAACCCTGCTCTTGATTTACGCTACGACAGAGCTATTTTTAGATAACACAAGGAAATTGCGCTAGACTTATTTAATTACTTGTTTATGTGAATATGGATGTAAATATTTTATCTGACTTGTAAATAAAGAGAAAAAAATTATCATATAGTATAATAAAAACTACACTTTGAATCAAATTTGTTTTTACATGTTGTAGTTTTAAATCTTTACTCATAGATCGTTTTTCTTTCTAGTCTACTAGTAGTTTTTTTTAATTACATTAGTCAAGGGAAATAATGGTCAGAAAATTTACGGCAGGCGTTTAAAAAGTACAAAGCAAGTACTGGTACTATGGGGTCAGATGTCAAGGACGACTGCGTTTACGTGGAAAGGTCGCTAAGGTCAACAGTGTGACATAAATTGGTCTTAAATTAGAAAAGTGGAGCTGGACAATAAGGTTAGGTGGGTAAGAGATGGATGATGTGTATGGGAGGGTGGGCGGTAAGGGGGGGGGCGGAGAGGTGTGGGGGCGGTGATGGGTTGGGGTGGTGGGGAATAATTTGATTGTGTTTTTGATTTAACGAGTTATGATGGGTGAAATACGAGAAAGGGGCAATTCAAAAATAGTTGAAATTGCTAAATATTCCTCAAGGAAATTATAGAATGTGAATTATCATATAAAAGACTGTCTTAAAACGAGATCAGTCGGTCAGGGGCATGACCATGTAGACTAGATTGTTTAAAAGTGCTAGGGTAAATTTGGGGACAATAATATCTTTCTCCAAATATTCAGATAGTGAAGCTGTACCATACAAGGTCATGGAATCTATAAATATCCAAATATAGGGATAGTCCACTATCACCCTTCAAATATAAGTTCAGTGAAAGATATGTAATTAAGCAGAGTGCACTATGGCTATCCTAATATAAGGTCAGTGAACCTTCAGTTATTAGGGGCAGTATATAATCAGCCTCCTTGATTAAAAGAGTGAACTATCCCCCCTAAGAACGAATGCATGGTGTAATTCCCTCAGGCTGCTCAGATGTAACTTAATACCCCCCCCCCCACCTCCCTTACCCCCCCCCCCCCCCCCAACAAATCTTATTGGTAGCGTAGACACATTTGTGTCTCCCGTTATAGAAAATATGACAACAGTTTGGTCATTTCTAATAATGCTGACCTAACACTTTTTCTCACAGAAAATCACAGTACATAGTTACAGAGCAGAGAAATTTAAAAATTAATTTTAAAAAAAAAACGTTTGAATAAAAAGTTTGTATATAATGATAAAATGAAAATTTTAATAAATAAATGATTTTAATGCATTATTAAGTAGAAAATAAATGATTTTCAAATTTATATCATAATGCTTATCAGTTCTTGACCCACGTGCTAAGTTTGAAAGAAATTTGTCGTTTTGAAATGGTCGAAATTTCGTTCGCCCGTTCCGACCCATGACGAAACATTAAGCGATAATCACGAGCAAGCAAGTTATAAAAAAAAGCTCGTAAAAAGTACTATCGATATCTGTAATAAAGCCTTTATGAATCAATGTGATCGGCTCTCCGTTATTTAGGGGATTAACAAAATAACATTAGCCGTCATTGTTAGTATAGAGTACAACATTACTAACCAACAAGATTATCTAAAGCTAACATCAAACACAAGCAGTAGGCTAACCATTTACATTAAGTCACGTGATTATCTTATAAACAATCTCGTTAGGTTGCGTGATCTCCCCACGTGATCATCCCACGTGATCATCCCACGACAACATCATCCACCTAACGCTACCAATCAAAACTGCATCATCGGGGTCCAGTCAAGCAAGTACAGGTCATCGGGCGGTCCGTGGGGACTTAATTACAACAACATAGACAGCAGATAAACTGGCACGGAATCTCATTGACCGTCAGAGTAATGCCAGACTAATGCCAGACAAATGATTAAGTACAGGATTAGTGCTGGGAGAAGCTGAAATTTTACGTTCGTTCATTGGTGGTTTAGCTACAGCCATATCGATAGAAAGGTGAAGGTTGTCCTCCATTAGTGGTCGGGTTAAAGGTCATCGAATTTATAGCGCAGTTGGTTGACAAGCAGACTATCGTTACTTGGTGAAAAGCTTTGGATAAAGCCAGAAATATCACAACAAATTACTTTGCAAACTAATTCTTTGCCTCATTAGGAAACTTATTTGTTTTTTTAAATCTTTATTTTAAGCAATCATCGACAATAAATCATCTCCTTTGTAATATAACGGAGGGGTAGCAGGTGTAGGAGGCGGAACATTTGAAAATCGTAAACATTCGCTTGTCTGCGGATCAAGAAAGCAATACAGCTAATAGCTTTCTATTTAGTCTAGAGTCAAACAATAATTCAAGTATATATAATGTAATAAGATTAAACAAATATTTATATGTGAAATATAATATCTAAGTTTGGGATATGAACAAACAATGACTATCTTTCAAACTTTTAAGCCAATAAATTTTTGAATCGTTTTTAGGAAAATAGTGATGGGTTGTTTCCCTTGATATGTTTATGTCGAAATTTACTATAACACGTTTCTTACCCAAATCAACACAATTAATCGATTGTCTCCCATCTTACCCGACATAAGCCATCATAGGAGCATCTCTTTCTCCAACCTTTGCTCTGTCTGTATAGAAACACGAATGAAGCTGGCAGTCCACTAAAAACGTGTCTTACACATCTAAAGATAATTTAAACAAAAGGCATCAACAAATTATGTGAGACTGGCCAATTGAAATATGGCGTGTAATACAGTATGTAATGCGATATGTTATTTAGATCGTAATATATCATGTAATTCGGCGTGTGATACAGAATGTCATACGACATGTAGTGCGACATGTAGTACGGCAATTTGTTTATTACCTCGAATAAGTAGATGCATTACATAATTAGTTTTAAAGCAAAAACTTAGTACAAATAAATCCCCTTATCTGTATCGTATTCTCTAATATAACAATAACGCGGATGGCGCTTTAAGAAATGTATTTTACTGGGGGGTTTATTTATTACCTCGTATAAGTAGATGCATTACATGATTAGTTTAAAATCACAACTAAAACTTAAATAAAAAAAATACATTCCCTTATCGTTATTGAATACTCCCATATAACAATAACGGGGATGGCGCTTTCAGATAGAAATGTGAAGGTTGTACTCCATCAGCGGGTCAGGTTAAAGGTCATCGTATTTATAGCGCAGTTGGTTGACAAGCAGACTATCGTGTTGTAGGTTACTTGGTGAAAACTTTTTTTATAAAAACAGAAATATCACAAGAAATGACTTCGAAAACTCAATCTTGGCCTTAATAGAAAACTTATTTTTTGTAATCTTTATTTTAAACAATCATCGACAATAAACCATCTCCTTTATGAAATAACGGAGGCGTAGTAGGGTGAGCTGTAGTGCTATTGGATAATCGTAAGCATTCGCTTGTATCCGGATTAAGAAAGCAATACAGCTAATAGTTTCCTATTTAGTCTAGAGTCAAACAATAATTCGAGTATACATAATGTAATTAGATTAAACAAACATTTATATGTGAAATATGATATCTAAGTTTGTGATATAAAAAAACAATGACTGTCTTTCAAACTCTTAAGCCAATAAATTTTTGTATCATTTTTAGGAAAATTGTGATTGGTTGTTTCCCTTGTTATGTTTATGTCGAAATTTACTCAAACACTAATGGCACACTAATACCAGAGAAATGATTAAGTACAGGTTTAGTGCTGGGAGAAGCTAAAATTTTACGTTCGTTCATTGGTGGTTTAGCTGCAGCCATATCGATAGAAAGGTGTAGGTTGTCCTCCATTAATGGTCGGCGTGGTCGAGTCGGTAAAGCTCATGGTTGCTAAACCGAAAAGTCTCGAGTTCGAACCATCGGGCAGATGAGGCTCGTTAGCTGGGGACAGCCACTCTTCTAGGAGAGATAACTCCAAAAATCAAACAACTGCTGCCTAGTAGTTTGTTCTTGGATGGACAAAGGCTACGAAAGCAAATCCAAAAAGAAAAGCAGGCTGAAATCGGAGTCAATGGCCTCAATGGCGCATAACCAGTTGACACGTAATCCTTAATTGTGATGGAAGCATGGTCGAGTCGGCAAAGCTCATGATTGATAAATTCGAAAAAAGTCTCGAGTTCAAATCCTCTGGTAGATATGGCTCGATCCCTCCCAACACTAAAAATTAAGAACGAAGAAGAAGTGGTCGGGTTAAAGGTCATCTTATTTATAGCGCAGTTGGTTGACAAGCAGACTATCGTGTTGTAGGTTACTTGGTGAAAAGCTTTGGTAAATACAGAAATAACACAAGAAATGACCTCGAAAAGTAATTCTTTGCCTTAATAGGAAACTCACATTTTTGGATTCTTTATTTGAATAAATCATCGACAATAAACATCTCGTTTTTTTTTTTTTTTTTTTTTTTTTTTTTTTTTTTTTTGTTATTTTGATATTTATTTCATCATTGAAAATCTGGTTGTCTGTCCTCCTTGAAGAAAGTCATAGTCTATTTTCAAAAAAAGTTTTCTCAATAATTAGAATTATAAAAAGTATTAGAACTAGTTTTTTATACTAGAATTGGTGTTTATCTTTCCATGCTATAAAATTACAGCAGCAAATATTTACATATTTAAGGACTAGGTAGTTTATTACACTACAAAAACATCAAGTACCTGCACTTGAAGATGAATGTCATTTTCTTCTTTAATAAGCAAAAGGCTTTATTTATATTACTTATTATTGATGCATATTTCTATTTCGAAAGAAAATAATACCACACATAATATGAATCATAGTGTACCATAATGATCAATTATTAAAAATCATAAATTAGAAATAAATGAAGATAAATGCTATAAACAAAACAGTCATACAATAACTATGACAACTGATTTTTTTTAATGACCAAAACCAAGAGCAAAACAAAAAATTTGAAAATGATGGATGGATAGTAAAAAAAATTTTGACAATACAAGAATAAAGAAAATCAAATATGTTGGACTTCTTTTAGTTACACTGTTTAACATGTCTAAAGGTCATTAAAAATTAGGCACAGTGGAAAGACAGCATAGTATGATGAGTAAAGAAAAAAGAAAAAGAGACTATGTACAGGAGTGATATATGAAATCATCCTCATCATCATCATAATATGCTCCTTGCGCCACCACATCTGCCAAACCTAAGTCATCAGCCTTGTCTACTCTAATTGTGGCCTTTGGTTTCTTTTTCTTTTGAGTCTTTGCCTGTTCTCTCCTTTGTCGTTCCTTTTCATGATACAGTGTATTTAATGAAATACCAATTCGTTTGATGTCATCAGCAGGCAAGGTTAAGGTTAAATCATGGATAAGTTTTTCTATAAATGCTACTCTCAAAAAATGTGATTTTTGTTCAAACTGTTCTTTTGTTTCCGGATATATGCTGTCTATTCCAGATGCATCTCCTACACCAAATAAACCTTTAGCTAATTTTAAATTAGCTTCTTCTTGAATCTTTTGTAGTCTAATTTTCTCAGCCAGTTTTTCCTCTGGTGTCTTCTCAACCTTTTCCTCTTCCTTCTGTTTAGTTCGCGCCTTTTCAGCTATTCTATCAGTTATTGGTTTTTTCTTCGGTCTCTGGTAAGCTGTGGTAAGCTATGGACTTTTCTTCCGCTGGTTTAGTACCATCAGCCTGTTCCTTTTTTTCTTCCTCTTCATCTTCCCAGCTTTCCTTCACGTCATATTCTTCATCTTCTCCTTCCCATTTATCTGAAGCAACTGCCCCAGCAGGTGGGATATTGGGCTCGAAATCCTCTTTTTCCCACTCGTCCATCTTGGATTAACCGGTGACTCTCTTTTTACGTTTCGCTAAATTGTGGAATATACATCTCCTTTAATTAAGATATAACGAAGTCGTAGCTGTGAATGTAATCAACAATTCTCATTGTAAGCATTCGCTTGTCTTTGGATTAAGAAAGCAATACAGCTAATAGTTTTCTATTTAGTCTAGAGTCAAACACTAATTTAAGTGTATATATAATAATAAGATTAAACACACATTTATATGTGAAATATAATATCTAACTTTGTGATATAAATACACAATGTCTATCTTTCAAACTTTCAAGCCAATAAAATTTTGTATTATTTTTAGGAAAATAGTAATGGGTTGTTTCCCTTGTTATGTTTATGTCGAAATTTACTAAAACACGTTTCTAATCAAAATCAACCCCAACAATCGGTTGTCTCCCATCTTACCCGATATAAGCCATCATATGAGCATCTCTTTCTCCAACTTTTGCTCTGTCTGTATAGAGACACGAATGAAGCTGGCAGTCCAGTAAAAACTTATCTTACACATCTAAAGATAATTTTAATAAAAGGCATCAACAAATTATGGGAGCAGTAGCGTACGCAGGGGGGAGCAGGGGGAGCGGCTTTGCTCCCCCTCTGGCCATTTGCAGCAAAGTGGCGCCTTTTTACAAGCTTTTATTTAACTCACTTCCTCTGTCGACAGCTCGACAGTCTGTCTGTCTAGATGGAAACGCAGGAGTGAAAATTCGGACAGTTCTACTTGACCGACACGATTCACAGTTGGCACGTGGGTCAAGACATGAAGACAATGCAATCTGAAACTAAATTTGACTTAATTGGATGCCTAATTGATTTTTTATGAATTAATTAAAATTTGGACCGAATTAGTAGGCATGTCTAGCCAACCACACCACACGCGCCATCAATAGCTGCGCCATCACGACCACGTAATGGCTGCGTTCAAAAACCATTGCGCGCCTACTGAACGTGATATTCAGTAGGCGCGCAATGGTTTTTAGTCATGTAACTCTATTGTAGATAAAACATGTAAAGTACTGAAAAAAAATTCATAAAAAACGTTTTAATAACAAGCTTTTATGTAATGATGCACTAAAAAGTAGAAAATAAATTATAGACTACTATTTAAATAACTATAAAGAAAAGCGTTTAAAAAACCTCTACGGTAGTACTATTTGGCAAGAGGGGTGATAAGTTTAAGGCAACTGTATAATGTATTTGCTTACGAATAATTGAATTAGAAAATGTTATACATAAAACTTCACACATAATTTAAAAAAATTACAATACAGAAACAAATACAACTGATGTGGCATCTCTATTTAAATTTACTTATGAGCAAACTGCGTAGTGGTGGGGAAATTTTGATAAGTAGTAGTATTCTTAGGGTCTACGACAAATTCCCGAATGGACACTTGCCCGAATGCGACAAATGCCCGAATGGACACTTGCCCAAATGCGACAAACGCCCGAATGGACACTTTCCCGAATGCGACAAATGCCCGAATGAACACTTGCCCGAATGTATGACTGTTCAGTCATCTAAAAATACTGAGTTGGTTATCTCCCCCCCCCCCCCACACACACACACCTCACCACCACAATTGTGTAGAGCGACATTAATGTCACACCTAGGTATACACTCGGTTGGATAATTGACCTAAAGTGAATGGACAGTAGTGAATGAAGTTGAATCCAACCCGCCCCTCCCAACCCACCCCGAACGGATGTTAAGTACATGTAGAAAAACACGTAATGATGTACCAAAGTACCATGCCGCCAGAAAATTAGCTTTTTAAACGTAAAACTCTATGAATATTGTTTTTGCAATTACCAGTTAAAAGGTGGGTGATCAATACAGTGATCTAACCCATACCTATCACTATGTTAAAGAATGATCTTAAAAGAACACAAAGAAGCAATAGTTAATTAAAATATATGATCTTAACTAAAAGACAGATATTTAGTTAAATATAGGCTGTTATTCCGAATGTTTTTCTATTATTTCGAAAAGCGTGCTTTTTTATACCAACTCTGATTTTAAAAACTTTCATTATGCTGTAATACCTTAGCATTTATGATGACGATATATTAAATTCTGATTATAGACAAAAACATTTTGTAAACACGAATAGTGTTAAACAATTTCATTATATTCTAAAGTAATTATTTATTTGTTTTGACATTTATAATTAAATGTGTAAATGTATACATATTTATACTAGGAGAGTGATTATTTACCCTATTTCACTTGTCTTTTAAATAGTTTCCCAGGAATTATTATGTAAGAATTTTTTTTTACAAGAATTACAAAACAGATGGTGTTACGTTAATTTTTTTTGGTTGTAGGGTGTATATTTTTTTTTTTGTATAGATTGATACAATTTTTGTTTTGTCGGCCTTGTTTTTCTTATTTCTTCAGAGTGCTACTTTCAATTTATTTTACATCATAGCGAAATAATAACATACAGCTAGTATATATATATATATATATATATATATATATATATATATATATATATATATATATATATATATATATATATATATAATATGCGTATATAGAACGTGTTAAAAATTCGGCGCCTTTTTTTGCTCTTTTCGCTCCCCCTACAACGAAAACCTGGATACGCCTCTGTATGGGAGACTAGCCAGTTGAAAAACGGCATTTAATACGGTATGTAATGCGACATGTAATATAGAAGGTAATACATCATGTAATTCGGCGTGTAATACAGAATGCCATACGACATGTAGTGCGACATGTAGTTATACTCTCATATAACAATAACGGGGATAGCGCTTTTGGAGAAGTCGTCAATAGAAATGTGTTGTTTTTTTTTTTTTTTTTTTGCTTTTTGTGGTTTTTTAATACGTAGGAGCCTATATTTTTTAAATAGAAATAAATTTAGTAAAATATAATTAGGTACCAAATGAACTCAATAGAGCTAACAAGTATTACCTTATAAAGAAAACGTTGATTAATATTTTAAAAAGTTAATTAAGCATCTAATTAAGTCTCAATTTTTATGTCATTTATGTCCCAATGCGTTGTCATCGCGCTTGGCCTACTTAAACATTTTGAAATAAATCTGTCCGATAGAGGTAGTGGAAATTTTGCTCGCAAGTTTCCGCCCATGATGGACGATAGACAGAGGAATCAAAGTAAATAAGTTGCAGTTTTTTGTTTTGATTATTTCCTGATTTTTACTTCACTACTGTTAGCCTTACAGTTTACGGCGATTTAGTTTTTTTTTAATTAGGGTGAGAGGGGGGGGGGGGGGTTTAAGTTCCGAATACTTATTCATGGGCTATTTTTGTTTAAATATGTAGACGTATTTCATATTCAAAAGAGCGACAAAGGTTTAAAGTATGTTGGAATTGCTTTTAGAAATCATAAAGAAACATGTTCATTTCTACACTCAAACTACATCATCTTTCGGAAAATGGATTTTCAGGTTAAACATTTGAAAAGTAAATAAACCTTATGATCACATAAAAACTAAAATCAAATTATAACCAAAATAATACGCGAACCTGCACTTTAAGAAGAATTTGAATTGAAATAAGAATCAACTTTTTGGTTTTGATTTTTTTATGTAAATATAGATGTAAATATTTTATCTAACTTTTTGGTACAAGCTAACTTGTAAATCAAGAAGAAAAAAATTGTCAGATAGTGTAATAAAAAAACTACACTTTAAATCTAATTTATTTTTACATGTTGTAGTTTTAAAGCTTTACTCATAAATCGGTTTTTTTTCTAGCCTACTAGTAGTTATCTATATATATAATTCTCTTCTGGGAGACGCTAGAAAACAAGCTGTAAACGCGCTCCCTACCATCCCCACCCCTACATGGTCTTAGTGAGCTGTGGTTCACGCTATGTTTACCTTCGTGGAGTCGGGTTTAGTGACGGCTATTAGGGGCAGATAATTTAGTTTGAAACTATTTTAAACGTTGGGGGGGAGGAAGGGGGGGGGGGTATGGTCCTTAACGAGCTACTTATAGTGTTTTAAAGAAATATTTTCAGTGTCAGCGTTGGTACTGTCGAATTCACAAATTATGAATTACTGAAAAGTAGAAAAAACAACTAAATAGCGGCATATGTTATGCCGCGGGCCGGCTCGTTTTTTTTAAACCACCTTTGTCAAGGTAAAAATTGGGCAGATAATTTAAGGCGGCCGTTTAAAAAGTACAAAGCAAGTACTAGTACTAAGGGGTTAGATGTCAAGGACGACTGCGATTACGTGGAAAGGTCGCTAAGGTCAACAGTGTGACGTAAATTGGTCTAAAATTAGAAAAATGGAGCTGGACAATGAGGTTAGGTGGGAAAAAGATGGATGATGTGTAGGGGAGGAAGAGCGGTAAGGGTGGTGGCGGTGAGGGGTTGGGGTGGTGGGGAATAATTTGATTGTGTTTTTGACTTAACGAGTTACGATGGGTGAAATAAGATAAAGGGGCAGTTCAAAAATAGTTGAAATTGCTAAATATTCCTCAAGGAAATTATAGAATGTGAATTGTCATATAAAAGACTGTCTTAAAACGAGATCAGTTGGTCAGGGACATGAAGGGGATCAGACTAGATTGTTTTAAAGTGCTAGGGTAAATTTGGGGACAATAATATTTTTCTCCAAATATTCAGGTAGTGAAGCTGTAACCATCCAAATACAAGGTCAGGGAAGCTATAAATATCCAAATATAGGGACAGTCAACTATCACCCTTCAAATATAAGTTCAGTGAATATGTAATTAAGCAGAGTGTACTTGAATTATCCTAATATAAGATCAGTGAACCTTCAGTTATTAGGGGCAGTATATAATCAGCCTCCTTGATTAAAACAGTGGACTATCCCCCTAAAAAATTATGAATGGTGTAATTCCCTCAGGCTGCTCAGATGAAATTTAAAACCCCCAAATCTTAGTGGTAGCGTAGACACATTAGTCTCCCGGTATAGAAAATTTGACAACAGTTTTGGCATTTCTAATAATGCTGACCCAACACTTTTTCTCACAGAAAATTACTGTA